GCCCAACTCTCTAGCCTGTCTAAGTCTCTCTGAATGGCAGCACAGCCTTCTGGTGTGTCAGCCACTCCTCCCAGCTTAGTGTCATCAGCAAACTTGCTGAGGGTACATTCTATACCCTTATCCAGGTCGTTGATGAAGATGTTGAACAACACCGGTCCCAGTACTGACCCCTGAGGGACTCCGCTAGTCACACACCTCCAACCAGATTCTGCCCCATTGACTACAACTCTCTGACTCCTTCCTTTCAACCAGTTCATGATCCACCTCACTACCTGATCACCAAACCCATACTTGATCAACTTATCTACAAGGATGCATCAGTACAGACTAGGAGGTGATCTGCTAGAGAGCAGGAGAAGGACCTTGGAGTCCTGGTGGATAAGTTCTCCATGGAACAACAATGTGCCCTTGTGGCCAAGAAGGCCAGTGGTATCTTGGAGTGCATTAAGAAGATTATGTCCAGCCAATTGAGGGAGGTTCTCCTCCCCCTCTAGTCAGCCCTGGTGAGACCTCACTTGGAGTATTGTGTCCAGTTCTGAGATCCCTAATTCATGAGGGACAGGGATCTACTTGACAGAGTCCAACGGAGGGCTACAAGGATGATTAAGGGACTGGAACACCTGCCTTATGAGGAAGGGCTGAGACCTGGGGTTTTTCAGTCTAGAAAGGAGAAGGCTGAGAGGGGATCTAATTAATGTCTATAAATACACAAGGGATGGGCATCAAGAAGGTAGGGACAAGAAATGTTTAGTTTTTATTTAAGTTCACTGTAAGATGACCTAGTTGTGTATTACATGACTCCCGATTATACCTATCTTTTGCCCTCCTTCCTACTGCTTGGACAAACTGAAGAATCCTGTAGGACCCAATTCATTGATCCTGTTACATTCAGAATAAATATGATCCTTGGCAAACTTCCTTCCCTTACGTTTAGCAACTGTTAAAATAATTCCAAAGATATGTTACTTCTCTGTTTCTATGTGAAACACCAATTTAGCAATCAATTAAAAAATTGTAAAATAAATACCACCCCTTAACCCCAAGTGCCATAAGCAAGGCAACAAAACAGTGACAGGTTATCTGGGTCTTTGTAATGCACCTGCTCTTGAAGAAGACCAAATTAGTAGTAAATAGTTCAATACAATTCATGGCAGTGAGCCACTTTGAGATCACAGAACTATAGAGTGGTTTGGGTTGAAAGGGACCTTAAAGAACACTTTCAGGGAGGAGGCATTCACAACTTCTTTGGGCAACCCATGCTAGTGTCTCACCACCCGCACACTAAAGAATATCTTCCGAATATCTAACCCTCTTCCAGTTTAAAGCCATTTCCTCTTGCCCTATTCCTACAATCCCTTGTACAAGTCTCTTCCCAGTTTTCTTGTAGCCCCCTTCAGTTACTGGAAGGCTGCTGTAAGGTGTCCAATAGCTAATCATAGAGCTCATTGCTAACACAATTTTTTTAAATATTACAGTTAATCAACACCACCAGACATCGAAGTCTCAATGTATGTAACAAAGATAGCTTTCACCTTGATGTTAACCCTCCATGTTGGGAATAAGGTCATTCATGGAGTTGTGTGTGTGGGAGATGTGTGAGTGATTTTCAAGTTCTTGTTTTGTAGAAAAATAGCAGTTTTAGTTGTTGCTACCAGGTAGCAAATAGTTCTCAAATACAGAAGGTTAGTTAAAAAGAATGATTATGTTATACAAGGTGTGTTGTTTGTCAGTTGGAGCTGGCAAATAGCATTATGGACTGGACTGTAGGACTTGTCTGTGCCATACCTTCAAAATTTCAGCCACAGACTTTATGGTCAAGGTATGGATGCTGCCTTAGTCATGACCCGCTCCAGGAATTACAGTGGTCATTTAGTAATGTCAGCAGTTTCAGGGTTTTCATTGTCACTGAAGGTTATCTTTGTCTGCCCTGAGGAGCTGCATAGATCTTTGTGGTGGTATGTGTAGCCTTTGCTTCAGATCTTGCCTTTTCCAGCCTCAACTAAGTATTTATTCTATGCATCAGGAAAATTTTTTATCACAAGGCCAGAAATCTTCCTAAACACATTTATAATCAAGGCTTGAAGAGGGTGGACTGAGAAGCCTTCTTGGTTAGGAAAAATGATAACACAAGATGATTTTGCTGGCATTCAGAGGGACTTTGGTAGGCTGGAGAAATGGGCCAACAGGAATCTCATGTAATTGAACAATGGGAAAGGCTGAGTCCTGCACCTGAGGAGCAGTGATCCATGCACCAGTGCAAGCTGGCATAACTGGCTGGAAAGCAGCTTTGCAGGGGAAGGACTTAATTGGTCTCAGTGGACAACCAAGTGAATATGAGCCAGCAGTATGCTCTGTGGCAGTGCAGGCCAGTGGTATCCTGGGTGCATTACGAGTGTTGCCAGCAGGTCAAGAGAGGTGTTCCTTCCCATCAGCTCCATACTGATGAGGCCACACCTGGAATACTGGATCCAGTAATGGACTCCTCATTGCAAGAGAGATAGGAACACAGTGTGTCAAGCAAAGGGGTGCAAATGTGTTTTAAAGGGGTCTTAAGACATCTGCTACGAGGAGAGGCTGAGGAATTTAGTGGTGTTTAGCCTGGAGAAGAGACAGCTCAGGGAGGTCTTAACAGTCTATGTAAATACCTGGTGAAGGTTGTCAAGAGGATGAAGCCGGGCTTTTCTCAGTAGTGTGGAGTGACAGCACAAGAAAAAATGGGCACAGATTGAAATACAGGAATTTCCACTTAAGAATAAATATTTTTACTATAGAGGAGATTGAACACTGAAACAGGCTGCATTGTGAAATCTGCATTCCTGGAGGTGCTCAGAAACTAACTGGATATAGTCCTCGGCAGCTGGTTCTAGTTTACCCTTCTTTGAGCAGTGGTGATTGGAGTAGCAATCTACAGAGGTTACTTCCAACCACATCTATCATGTGATTCTGTGAATGGTCAGACAAGAAGGCATTTCCTTCAGTTTTGCCTCTCCAGCTGTTGGGTTTTCTTTGCTGGAGGTGGCTCAGCTGTTGGACACAGTGACTAATAGGTTTAAAGTGAATTTGGCAGTCATTTCCAAAAGCAAGGAAATGACTGGAGGAAAAAAACAAACCCACATTCTTTTTGCTTACTAATTTCAGAGTGACCTGTTGCTTTGGGTTTTTTTAAGGGTAAATGGGAAAGTAACTGGTTGTTACTTCAACCGTATAGTGCTCATTTTTATCTTGTGCTACAAACTGAATGCCAGTGTTTCTCTTTTGTTGCTCAGTTCTTTCCAAATAGCAGCAGCATTTGACTTTAAAAAAAATAAAAAAATTTCTGGCTGTTCACTGTATTCAGAAGATGTAGATGGAAACTGTGACTGATCACTTTCACTCTGCTATACCTCTGCAGAGCTGTAGGAGTAAGTATTCTTGAGAATTCAGTTTTTGTGAACAGCTGGGCAGATGATGTGCTGGTCTGTCTTTGACATATTCTCTTTTTAAAAAAAGCAAAATGCAGTAAAATGCTTAAAAAATGGTAACAGATTTTAATGAAGATAATGGCATCTATCCAAGAGAGCTTATTTTTTTCCTATGTATGTATAAAAAAGTTAAGCACTTTTCCACTATGCAAAATGTGTAAGTCAAACCAGTGATTTTTAAACTGTCATGCACAGTTAAACACAGTAGCCTTTGTGATATCAGGTGTGTTGATAGTCTTAACCCAGAGATAAAATTACAGATTGCCTGTGTAATTTGGTACATGTATTTCTCATCCTTTACTTGTAGTTAAAGAACTTCTCATTTTCTTTCTCTGATTTGTATGGATGGAAAAAAACCATAGTTTTCTCAGCTTTTTGAGCTGAGAAAAGATAGAACATTTCAGGAAGAGACTGACAAGTGGAGATGAGGTGAAGTCCATTATCAGTACATCATCAGACAGGGTATCACTAGCAGCCTTTCTTTATTGTTAACTTTTTAGTTTCGAATTATAATAATCTGATGTAACAAAGTTGTTAGTCGTATTTTTCTTTTTCTCCCACAGGTATCAAGCACGATGGAACTATGTGTGATACTTGTCGGCAGCAACCCATCATTGGCATCCGATGGAAATGTGCTGAATGCACTAACTATGACTTGTGCACAGTTTGCTATCACGGGGACAAACATCACTTGAGACACCGCTTTTACAGGATTACCACACCAGGAAGTGAAAGGTAAGGCATTTCCCTTCCCGGCCCTGATACTAAATAGGAAAAGTTAATTGTGGTTAACTTTTAAGCTGCAGATTTGGTTACTGAAATTTGAATTATGTGAGATAGTGGCTTGATTTGTAGATTCTGTTTATTGCTCTGGTTCTTTGTGTGGAAGGGTAGCTAGAACAAATCTTTGGAGCCTGAAAAATGTGGAAATTTTTGGAAAAAGGGAGTAGAGTAAAAAAGTTAGGATATGATTATTCAGGTTTTTAATTTTGTTCAGTCTTCCTAGTTCTTGTGTTATCATATAGCAGCTTTAAAACAAAGGCAATTAATTATCTTTCCACTTTGTATAATCACAAAATGATTTGTCATTGAATTTCTGAATGTGAAAGTTCAGGTTAAAAAATGGCGTGGATAAATTGAAGGCAATACACTCATTGTGGGCTATGAAAAATGGAATGATCCGTAGAGAAAACCTTTTACTTGAACTGTTTAAACTGCTTTCCACAGAAAGGAGAGAAAACATATTGTGAAGGGTTGTTCTACCCTTGCCCTGGTTTTAAGGTTCTTTTCTTAAGCATCTGTTATTGTCTCCTAGTGAAGAACTCTGAACAAAATTAGCATTGTGTTCTTGCAGAGTTGTTCTTGTGTTCTTTAAATTACTTGTCTTAACTCCAAAGCCTCTCAGTGTCAAGATTTGTCTACCAGTTAAGTGAGAACAGTGATATTTACCTATTTACTTGGAAAGTGACAGTAAAAGCATTGTGTAAAGGCTACATGCTGTGATATCACCTCTGCTAACTCTCCAGAATGTTCTTTCATTAAATCATTGCAAGCTTTTTTATTAGATATAAAACTCAGTTAAATGTGATGTGCATAAGACAACATTCACTTGTTCTTTTTGGAGAATCAAGATTTATAAATATGTTGCAATTCAGTAATGTGCTTTTACAGTTAAGGGAAGCAGTTGGAACATGCTTGTGTCTTATCTTGTAGGGACTGTGTTTATTTTCTAAAACATTTGCATTGAAATTTAACTGTGGCTCAAATGCCCACGTTTGTGGCTTAATCAAAAAGTAACTTCTGTTTTTTGAGATTAATGCCTGCAGATCTAGGTGCCAAATAGATGGCATAAGCTTAGTGCCTCAATTATGATGTTTAATGTGGAACAAGACTTACCCATTGGATCGAAGAGTGGAGAGTGCTGGGGTAGTATAATTAATAGATAATAATAAAATACAAATCTGTTTTTCTATTAATTTCTTTTTAAAAAATCTCATTGCTTTTGAGAATGTGTGTCAGACTTCTTTTTTTCTTTTAGCTGAAATTTACTATTCTGTGGTGGTGTATAAAGAATAACTTTTAGTTTTTGAGATTATATGCAATGTGTAGAGTTGCAGGAAATCTTTTGCATCTTGTCACTTTCTCCATATCTTTGGATACCCACACAGCTCTGGTTTGCAGCTCTTATCTAGAAGTACCCTTCATCTGCCAAGTAGCTGTTTCTGTTGGATCAGACTTAGCTGAGAAAAATCGATTAAAGGTAACTGCTTGAGGGAGGAGAGAAGGATAAATAAGTGCTATTGAAATGGAGATGTGTATCATAGGGAAAATGGTAAGAAGCATCTAAGTATGTTTGGATGAAGGAAAGCCTAAGCTCTATGTATTTTATTCTTGAATCTGGGTTATTACATGAGCAGCATACCAAAGCAGTGTATGCTTCAGTTTTGTTGGTGTTGAGATCTTTCTAAAATGCTGCTATAAACAACACATCTTTGTGTTTCCTATCACTCTTTTTATTACTTCTATAAAAATGCATAATTTTTTCATGTGCTCTTTGCATTGATTCTCAGTTTAACTTTTTCCTTGTCTGCCATCTGCTGGGTGTTAAAAGCTTAGCAGGAGGGTGATAAACTTCCTGGAAAGGTCAGGAAATATTAGGATTTTCAGCTGAAAAATACTTTTTTCCTGTCATGAAGTAAGAAATCTGGTTGTGTGCAAAGTGATGGCTTTTGAGATGACTTGAAAGGCAGGAAAACGTTCATCGTTTTCTTTCTCATACGTTCATCGTTTTGTGCTCATAAGCTCTTCTGTTTTATCCAGTCAGAGGGAAAGAACAGGTTTGCTTTGGAAAAGTAACATTATGACTGAAAAAATGGATACTGATATATTGAACTAAATTTGCTAAGATATGCTATAAGAAGTATGTAGAAAATAAACTGAGACATGGAGGGGAAAGAGATGTAGCTCTTTTACTGAAGAGCATAATTCTGAATAAAAATGGCAGGGCAGTTGCAGGACAGCAATATTAGCCTATGGTGCACCTAAGAAAACAGAAAGGTGTTATTGATATGTTATTTCTTCAATTATTTTAGTACTGTGAGTACAGATCTATGTGTAAGTGGTTACAACATCATTGCTGGTAGTAGGAAGTTTAGAGAAGAAATCATAATTAAAATTAATAACTAACTACAAACACAACAAATCAGATTTAGAAAAATCACTTCTTAATCTTGTGGGCTTCTGTTGAAGTTAAGAGTTGAATGGATGTCATTTGTACACTGAAATCTGCTTGTGGGGTTGTTTTTGTTTCAAGACGCTCTCCTTCCTTCTTACCCCTAAGATTAGTTCTGGACTTTATTATGTTGACATATGTGGGTTCTTCTTTTAATAACTTCAGGGTATTGTTGGAGTCTCGCCGTAAATCAAAGAAAATTACAGCAAGAGGAATCTTTGCAGGTGCCAGGGTGGTGCGAGGAGTTGACTGGCAATGGGAAGATCAAGATGGTGGCAATGGGCGTAGAGGAAAGGTAAAAATAAAACTGGTTTAAAGGAGAGGATGCATTTCTGCATGCTTATGTGAAAGCCGCAGTGGCCTTCCTAATGGTAGAGAAAAAATGTGACTATGAAAGTTACTATTTTAATTTACTGGATGTTTTATTCTGAGGTGTTCAAACATATAGGAAGAGGAGGGGATATAAACTACGACCAGTTCTTTTACATTTAATGTTATAATTTTTAAATTACTGAATTTTTGTCTTGGTTGTTCTGTTTAAGACTGGCTAGTAATCTTGGGTATATATCAACATTGTTAAAGAGCTGTTATAAAAGCAGATTTCAAGTACAGTCCTTTCTGGTCATCACTGAGTCTTACTGCTCATGAGTCAGCACATATATGTATATCTTACTCGTGGTTTTTAGTGCTTGCATCTTGCATTTATGTTTTTCATTTAACCATTTCAGGGACTTTTCTGGTTTAAAGTTTAAAACTTAGCAAGTCTTGGATGTGGCTGTTACATTACTGGCTTCAGACATTCAAAGTGTTTTTGATAAAGCTGTCTATGTATTGAAAATTGCATGTAATGATATGTTGCTGTTCATAACATCCTCAAATTTTCTGCTTACAACTTACATTCACCTTGAGAGCTAATGAAAGTTCGTTATAAGTATGAACATACAGCAGGAAGGGTAAAATGTGCTGTGACTTTTATCACCAAATATGAGATGTTCTAGAAGGAGAATGGAATGCCCTTGTATTTGGATGAACTGGTGGTTTTTGTTGATTTTTTTTTTAGTGCACTTAAGCAATATTTAAAAGAAAGTGAAAAGGTCCGTAATGAGATATTTAGCCTATTTTATATCCTAGATGGTTACAGAAAGACTTTTGGGGATTTAATTTTGGATTTTATTGAAAATTTATTTATTGAGATGATAATTATTATGCATTTATTTATATTCTTTATTATATCTCTTTATTGAGATTATTAATTTCAGTCTCTTAAAGCAAGGAATAACAGATGCAGTTTTTTAATCTAGATTATTTACCCCTTGCTGTGGACTTGTTTGAGATTTCAAAATATCTTAGCTTTACAACATAAGTGTATTAACATCAAATAAATTTTTACAGTTCAAATTTTGTTCTCTACTTACATGGTTAGATTACCTACCAAATGTAGAAAATAGGCCTGCAAAGCATTTATTCAGGCTGTTATCTTATTGAGACACCTAGAAAACCCTTGTATGAAACAGACAACAACTTGACAATAATTTTTTTTTTTAATTCAGTAAAACTGCTGTGTCCTAAATTATTCTGAAAAGATGAATTAAGGATTTAGGTTCAAATTGTGTCTTTGTTCTAGAAACAGTTTTCTTATTTTTAAAACTGAATAGGTAACTGAAATCCAAGATTGGAGTGCATCGAGTCCACATAGTGCAGCATATGTTCTTTGGGACAATGGTGCTAAAAACCTATACAGAGTTGGCTTTGAGGGCATGGTAAGTACAAAAGAACACAAAGGGTAATATGCATGATGGGGGAAGGGTAATAAGAATAAATTGTTCTGCTTTATTATCCTGCTTTTGTATACCCTTTGTCAGTTTGCATGCTGTTAGTCAGGTCATTGTGAATACAGCTGTATGGATCATGAATATGTATCAAGAAGTTTGATCTGAAAACTTATAAAATGTGAATAACTTAAAATGAAGGACTGGTTTCTGCCAGAGTATAGTAAATATTTACATTGCATACATGATTATCTTACTATGCTACTACTGTGCTTAAATGAAAATTCAGAAAAGGAAAATAAGCTTAGTCATGAACTTTTTAATGACCACATTTCCTTAACTCTTGAACTCTTTAGTTCGCCTCAAATTTTGGTGTGATTACTGCAAGATTTGCAGTTTTCAAATTACTGGCAACACTCGGAATCCTTTGGAGAACATTTTTTTTGTCAATGGAAAGTTACAGCCTTAATTTGTTTTTAGTGCTATTTTTTTGTGTGGTTTGCTTCCTAGCTTCTACAGATGCTTCTACAGCTTTAGAGAAAAAATTATTCAGACTGTAGCCCAAGTCCCTTCTGTTGCTGGGTTTTCTTATCCTAATGTAGGTCAGGGAAAGGTTGCTTTGATTATCAACTGCTTATAACAATTAGCATTTTCTTTCCATGAATTTTGTTTGATGCAGAGGGACAACCATGTTAACATTGAAGTGTCATCTTGTCAGATGTATATGAGTAGTAAAATGTTAAACAATGTCTACTGGACTTCTGTGAAAGTAGTTAGCCTTATATAGCCTCAATTGATAGAAAGTGTACCTTTATAATAAAAAAGAAATACTAAATACCACTTCTGCAGTAAATACATATTTTAGTGTGAAGTTTTAAAAGAGTAAACATCTTTTTGCGGGTCAGCTTTAACAATGCATTAAGATGCCAAGAATAAAATATAAGTCAGTACTGAATAATGTGCTTCATGGTCCTACTCAGTTCTAAAGAAAATTCTTTATATACTGGCAAAAGAGGAAGAAAGTTAAATATAATATTATGTAGAATAATATCATGAAACCTATGGTTGGTGTCTTCCCCCTTGCATTTAATTGTGATGCATGGAAAAAGAACACAATTACAAAACATAGGTAGAATGAGATATAGATAAACTGATATTTTTGTTGTTGCAATTTCAGTTACTATGTTTCAGTTTGTGGAGTGCATAGTAGCAGTGCTGTGGAATCATTAAAGATTCTGTCTGGCCTCAGAAAAAAACATTTAGAACAAGTTATATTCTGTTATGAGATAGGTATTCCCTTAATAATAATAAAAAAATATTATTTGTAAATCAACTATATTCTGTTGCAAAACTATTGCCACATATGGAGGTTTTATATATTTGTAGCATACCTGATTAACTACTGTAACTGTAAATATGAATTTTTGAGAATTACACTTCACACAAGATTTGAACAAATAGAAATATTTGGTCAGTCATTTAATTAACAACAACAAGGTGTTAAAATGTGTGTGAAACTACATATATGTATTGTATATACAGAGGACAGTATGTAAGTAATAGGTGTACATACATCTCTATAAAAAGGATAACTGAGGCTTTATATGTAGCGCTTACCTGATTGTAATCCATTCCTGCAATAATTTTATGTTAGATACTTTTATCAAATGCACTTTTCACTTCAGACAGAAATTATGCTTGGATATAAGTGAGAAATAGTAATTTGAATATAAAGCTAACTTTTATAACATTAATTGCTTGCTAAGTGTACAATTATGATTATTTACTACAATTTATATGCTGTTATGTAAAGCTATTGAATAGACTGTTAGAAACTTCATATAAAGTTGAGGCAAACTTGTCTTGGGACTTAAAAATTGGTTAAGAATGTCCAGAGAATGTGGAATCAACAATACACAGTGTGTGTGCCCATGTAAATACAGCTGGGAAGAGAGCTCTACTTGCAAATGAGTAACACTTGACTCAGACACAAATGGAGCTGATTAAAGAAACAGAGCTTATTGTTGCAAGTCAGGGTTGCTTGTTTGATAGCTGACAAGCTGCATCTGGTCCTCAAAATTAATCTATCTGGCCTGCCAGCTTTTCCTTGGGAGAGACAAGGATTGGCTGGTGGAGCAGCAGGTGCTGGCTGAAAACTTGCATTGATACGTGATCAGATCCTTAGAGTTTTTATTCAAGTTTGCTGTGTTTACACATCAAGTGATTGAGAGAGGTGAATATTTCCTTTGTTTGTGAAGCCTGGCATTTAAATCTGGGAATTTCTGCTGCCACAGGCCACAAATGCCCAGATAGAAATCTATTGTTGTTGTTGTTATTATTAATTATTGAGACCACATGGCAGAGCAAAGAGTGGCAGCAGCACCAGCCATCGCAGAGAGCGGCCTGAGCCGGCTGGAGTGGGTCTGCACAAGCAGTTTAGTGTGGGTGTGCGTGAGGGCACGCGAGGAGCAGCAAACAGTGGTTGCTTTCTTGTAGCTAGACAGACCGTCATGGTCACAACACGACCACAAGCTGCAGTGAAGAAGAATGTGGGAACTCAGACTGAGCTTTCCTGCAGACATGTGGCCATGCAGGCTGCAGCAAATGCCTGAGCCTGGCACTGGTACCAGAGGGAGCCAGTGACACCGCGTGTGTGCGGTGCGAGCAAGTAAGTGATCTGCTCAGGCAGGTGGTTGAACTGAGGGAGGAGGTAGAAAGGTTAAGAAGCATCAGAGAATGTGAAAGTGAAATAGATTGGTGGAACCACACCCTAAGGCAAGGGCAGAGGGAAGAAGTTTTTGAACAATGATGATGAATCCCCTCCCCTCGTGTCATCAGACAGAAGGAGGGAGCTCACGGGACAGGGAGGAATGGAGGGAGGTTCCTCCTTGGAGTGGCAAGCGAAAGCCCTCACAGCCCTCCCAGTTGCCCTTGAAAAATAAGTATGAGGCTTTGGAACTTCAGGGCCAGGCAAATGAAGATGGAGATCTAGTGAATCACCTAGGGCTTGTCACTCAGCCTTTCGCCTTAGGACTTCAACTAAGAAGAAAAGGAGAGTAATTGTGGTGGATGACTCCCTTCTGGGGGGAACAGAAGGGCCCATTTGTTGACTAGACCCATCCCACAGGGAAGTCTGCTGCCTCCCTGGGTATCAAATTAGAGATGTTAAAACGAAACTCTGATCTGGTGCAGCCATCTGACTACTATCCACTGCTGGTTTTTCAGGTTGGCAGTGATGAAATTGTTACAGGGAGTCCAAGGGTAATGAAGAGAGACTTCAGGGCCCTGGGATGGCTGGTTAGGGGGTCTAGAGCACAAGTTATGTTTGCTTCCACACCTGTTGCAAGAAAGGATGAAGAGATAAACAGGATGACTCTGCAGATCAATGCATGGCTATGTGACCAGTGCCATAGGCAGGGATTTGGGTTTTTTGATCACAGGCTGCTATACGAGACACCTGGCCTGCTGGTGGCAGGTGGGATGCACCTGTCCCAGAGGGGCAAAAGGCTTTTGGGGCAAGAGTTAGCAGGGCTCATTGATAGGGCTTTAAACTAGATATGAAGGGGGAAGGAGAGATAACTGGTCCTGTTAGGGACAAGCCTGAAGTGAAACATGCCAGGGCTTGAAGGATGGTAGACTAGGGAAGACTCTCACTCTGTTGTTTCATTTGAGAGAAAGGATAGATGTTGACAAATCATGAAAGCACCTGAGAAGGGTTTGGTAGGAAGTGGAGTCCACAGTGGAAAAAAGGTGTTGGAATCATTAGCTCATCTGAAGTGCATCTATACCAGTGCACACAGTATGAGCAACAAACGGGGAGCTTGAAGCCATGACACACCAGGAAAACTATGACATAGTGGCTATCACAGAAATGTGGTGGAATGTACCACATAACTGGAGTGCCACAATTGATGGCTACAAGCTCTTCAGGAGGAATAGTAAGGGAAGGAGAGAGGGTGGAGTGGCCCTGTATGTTAGAGAATGCTATGAGAGCTTGGAAATTAAGTACAGTCATGATGAGGTTGAGAGTATTTGGATTAGGTTAAGGGCCAATAAATCTGATGTCACTGTGGGAGTCTGCTATAGACCTCCCAACCAAAGCACTGAGGTGGATGAAGCTTTTTATAAGCAGTTGGGAGAAATCTCCCAGTCACTTGCTCTTGTTCTTGTGAGGGTCTTTAACCTCCCAGACATCTTCTGGGATCAAGCACTGGCTGGACCGTTGGGCCCAAAGAGTGGTGGTCAATGGAGTCAAATCCAGCTGGGGCCAGTCACAAGTGGTGATCCTCAAGGCTCAGTGTTGGGACCGTTTCTGTTTAACATCTTTATTCGTGATCTTGATAAGGACATAGAGTGTATTGTCAGTAAGTTTGTAGATGACACCAAGCTAGGCAGGAGTGTTGATCTGCATGAGGATAGGGAGGCTCTGCAGAGAGACTTGGATAGATGAGATTGTTGGGCTCATGTTAACGGTCTGGGCTTCAACAAGGCCCAAGTGCCAGGTCCTGCACTTGGGCCACAAAAACCCCAGGAAACACTACAGGCTTGGGGAAATGTGGCTGGAAAGTGTCTGGCAGAAAAGGACCCGGGTGATCTAATTGACAAGCAGCTGGACATGAGCCAGCCGTGTGCCCAGGTGGCCAAGAAAGCCAATGGCATCCTGGCTTGTATTAGAAGTAGCGTGACCAGCAGAAGTAGAGAGGTGATTGTCTCCCTGTCCTCAGCACTGGTGAGGTCACACCTGGAGTGTTGTGTCCAGTTTGGGGCACCTCAATTCAAGAGAGATATTGAGGTGCTGGAGCGAGGACAGAGGAGGGCAGTAGAGCTGGTGAAGGGCCTAGAGAATAAATCATTGTAGAGAGGTTGGTGCTGGTCTCTTTTCACAAGCAATTCGTGACAGAACAAGAGGGAATGGCATCAAGCTGCAACAGTGTAGGTTTAAACTGGACATAAGGAGACTTTTTTCACTGAGTGGTTAGACACTGGAATGG